ATATATATATATATATATATATATATATATATATATATATATATATATATATATATATATATATATCCATCCATCTATCCATTCATTATCTATACTGTTTTATCCATCTGGGTCGTGGGGAAGCTGGAGCCAATCCCAGATATATGTGTAATATATTCTAAAATGATCAATTGAAGTTGCATAAAATTGAATGAAATATATAAATGTAATTAAACTTTAATGCAATTTCATTAAACACAAGCAGGACCCCGAGTATCACGGCCCCTCTGCGTGTGCAGTGTCTGGAGGTTCTCCCTGGAGGTTCTCCCTGATGATTCTCCCTCAAGGTTCTCAGGTTCCCCCTGTGTTCTGCTGGTTTTCTCCAGGTACTCTGCTGTCCCCCCACAGTCCATAGACTTGTAATTAGGCTTAGTGTATGATTGTGTGTATGAACACCCCCCCACCCCGCCTCCACCACCACAAACAAAAGTAGTGTTCAGTCTTATTTTTTTTAATAAAGGTGTTAATTCTATGGATGGGTGCTGGAACTGTCCAGAAGCCCTGTGATCCTGATCTGGTTGGATGGATGGATGGATGGATGGATGGATGAACAGTGACCTGCCCACTTGATGGAGAAATATGCCTATCTTAGGGACCCCGGGAGTGATAAAATGGCATTCTTAATGGGACACCCATCAGAAATGAACGATTCTGTAAGAAGCTTTTAGTCGTAGGAACTTAAAAGAATCAATTAACCGAAAAGAATCATTAAGTTCATTTATAGTAGGCTATGTAGCATTATTCACTTCGGTAAGTTCCACTGAAATAAAAAGCAAAAATATATAAATATTGTATTGTTGTGAATGTATTTGGTAATTAAAAAACGCGACTCTACAAATCATTACATGTTCAGTGCACCTACTGCAGAAACCGGGTATTACAGTTTTGTACAAAAATAATAGTGAAACATAAAATATGAGGGTAGAACGTCTGTTTTGTTGTCGTGGATATCTGCTGTTTAACAAGAACAGTAAACCCAGGTCCGCTACGAAGAGGTATAGTGCCTTTGCAGTAGCTGTCCGTAACAGTTTGATTCAGCTGTTTTGCGTGCTTCTTTCAGGTTTTCTTCACATCCTCATGATCCTGAGTATGGATGCGGTATAGGGGTAACTGGGGTTCATGAAAAGGCCTCTTAGGGACCGGAGGGTCAGTTTATGGACCGAAGAGGGAGCAAAAGAGCAGCATGAGTTCAATTAAGATGCAGGCGATCGCGGGCAAACTGCAGGCAATGCAATATTCACCGTTCGTTGTTACGGCTCGTAGCGTGAGAAAAGCAGATAAGGTGCTGAACTTCTGGGGAGGGCAACGTGCAGGAATACAAAAATCTATATTGTTTCGTTATGTTTACGTGCTTTTATTTTAACGTTGTTTCTCTTCAGTAACAGTATTTACAGAGCAGAATGCTTCTATGCAAGCGGTCAATTCATTGAATTTTTAAGGAAAATGCACACGTTTCGTCTTAAACTGCAACGTGAAAAACTTAAATAACTAAATACACCTGAATCGAATATCCGATTACCTACAGGTATGCATCAAGAACTAAAAAAAACTAAGCTAATCAGAATTTCGACCTCAGTTAATAATTAATCAGCATTGTACTTAGTTACTGTTATCTAACGTAAGATATCAGTTTATTTAATCTTACAATTTAGATTTACCTTCAAAATCTGAACATGGAAATGTTCTGCACATTACACGATTTGCATAAGACCGAAAAGTAAGCTATCCGTCCCTGACACACAGAATAAACATAAATTATATAACGTGATCGTCCATTAGGCTATTAACTGGGTATGTTTTTATATTCTGTCGATCAACATTCATTTATTACACTGCTGATATGTAAAATAATTATCAAGTATGCATATTAGGCTACGCACCATAAAGTAACCGTTTATGTTGCGATGCAGGCTTTTTTACTGAACAGGAAAGTTAAACTGAGAGATATGTTGTTTTAAGAGGTGAAGAAATTGGTTGCATTTTTTCATAACGTGACTCGATGTCTTGTACTTCTGTCAGATGGTTTGAGGCGCCGACTAGTGCTGCGATTTCTCATCCCTGTGCCAGTGGTGACGCATTAGCTATCTAATGAAGCACCTTTTTCTACATACACTATACATTATTATATTCGCAGAAAAGCCTGCGAACGGTGTGTAAATTTGTCACTTTAGATATAGCCGAAATTTATTAAGCGTGAATTGTTCACTGGAACTGCAAGTAATTGTTATATAATTTTTTGTTCAGTATGAGGCCAGGTGGAAAGTTACGCCAATACTTTAAAACGAAGTACAAGGGAAATTGTTTAACTGGACAAAGTTTTTTTTGTTCAAATAAATCGGCTTTTTGTGATTTGAATTTTTAAAAATGTTCAAAATTTGAAAATTCAGTGATGTCTCTAGTGCATGGGCTTAGGAGCCAAGTGTGTACACTCTTAGAAAAAAAGGGTAAAATTTTGTACCTTTGCTTGTCACTGGGGCTGTACCCTTGTATTTGTACCTTTTAAGGTACAGAGATTGACTCTGGGGAACATCCCAAAGGTACAAATACCATTAGTGTACCATCAATAGTGCAGAAATGTTCCTCAGAGTCCATTTCTGTACCTTCAAAGGTACAATTAACTACAGCTAAGGGTACAACTGGCAGACCCTTGAGGATGCAGCCCCAGTGACAAGCAAAGGTACAAATTTTTACCCTTTTTTCTGAAAGTGTACCCCGCCGCAAAAATAGTATTCTTTGCTCAGTAAATCAATGTACATCCATCCTGGCTGGTTGGAATTTGCATTTGTCTCCTTAAATAAGTAGGTTGAAAGCCATGTAATAGGCAGCTATGCAGCTCAATGCAAGTTAATTAACCTTAAAACAACATCAAAGATACAGCTGGATGTATATGAAAGCAATTAGCACAGGAAATTTGAGTGAGTTGACTTAAAGGCAGTGAATGAAACGTTTGAGTGGCGTGAACTCTGAACGATCCTTGAGTCCTCCTTGGTGGAAGGCGATCATGCTGGAGGTGTGCAGGCATAGGAAAACCAATAATGTCAAAATCAAATAGAAAATACTATTTGTATAAAGTTGATACACATATTTTTAAAAGTCCATCTCAATATGGAGAGAAAGGAAAAGATCAGTTTCACCTGTCATTCACTCCCACGTTAGGTATAAATTGTTGTGTCCTGTTTCATTTTGTTCCACAACAAATTGGACCTTGGAGAGAAAATTCTGTTGCAGAGGCACAGGATTTATTTCCAAAACATCCAATAACTCGTAGTCCAAGCAGAATCAGTATTTTGTAGGGCAAACACAGAGAAAACCGAACACATATCAGAAACCAAAATCTGTAGTCAGGAACCTTGGCAGAAGATTGAAACCAGTGGATATAACTAAGAGAAGAAAAATCACCGAAACCAGTCAAGGTTATAAAGAACGGGTTATCCTAAATGTGCAGTATGATGAGAAAACACACAATACCTCATGACAACGTGACTACAACAAGATCTTGATATACTTAGTCAATCACGGATGAGGTATGGCCAGACTGGGATGGGACAGAGACTGGACTGGCTACTGGTGTGACACCTCAACCCATTGTCATTTCTGAACAGGAACTGCGGAACCCATGTCATATCACTGCTCACCAAAGGGGGTTTCTTAGAAAGTGTTACATCCATTGTGGTTTAGTATGCAGCTTAGGAAACTTTGTAGTGTATATTGCACCATGAAAAAAATAATTGATTTACAAGGTTTACAAATTAAAATTACTTTTATAATCACATTCTAATTCTTTTAAGTCACCTTTGGCTGACCGGGCCTAATGAAATAAGAATGCTGATTCCTGGCTCTCAGAAAGAACATACAATGTCCTTCAAGTGACCTCATATCAGCTGTTTCTTACTTAAAGCTTCCAAACTACTTCAAAGTGATCAAGACTCTTCAGGGCCTGGGAGGGCTT